AGGTGTCCCATTGGAGAATATGAATTAGGATACACCCAGGGGGTGGGGGGAAACCAAGGTCAAGGGTGACAATGAATGATATGTCTCAGAGTCGGCTGCACCCAGGCAGTGCCGGACATGTTAACTCCCAATGAATCCTTTTGAAGTTTTGGAAGTTTGGCTCGAGACTCATGATTTAATTGGGGTAACTATCGGAATCCTGACAAAAATCTATCTATCTATATGTAGTCCTTTGTCCTCTCTGAGCTTGGTGGTATTCTTGCAGACATTTCCTTACTCAGCTAGCTAACATCGTCTCTGATGTTACTTAGTTGGGTAATGAAATGTCTCCTAAAAAACAAATCACGTTCAGTGAGCACCAAATTCCCCCACAGTTCAACCCTGAGCTACAAATATCTCCATCTATTGGTCTGCGGACTCCTTGGTGCTCTCTGAGTTTGGCTGTTTGCTTGCAGATGTTGCTCAGGAGCAAATCCCACCCTCCTTCGCACGGGTGACATTAGTTAGTTTGGTCATGAAACGCCTGTAAGAAAATCACCAAGGAAACCTATTTATAAGAGGCAACCTTGACGTGATGGTACATCAATTTGAACTCGAAGCAGGGTGTTTCAAACGGTTCAGAACTGAAAGGTTTTGCAGGCGGGACAACTGGTATTTCCAGCCAAATCATGTTTTTTGAACATCTCACTCTTCTGCTCTCTTTCTCCTTCTGTGTATCTCTCTTCTATTCCTAACCTCATTTAACCCACCCATCTTGTCACAATGATTCCTCCATCTGCATCAGAACAGCTTATAGTATTTTCTGAAACTGCCTCGGCTGACTTCTGAGCCTCCTTGTATTTTCTTGTTCCTTTTCTTTCCACAACATTTAGTTCCACCGAAGCCCTATCTGCTCTTTGCAACTCCCGAACGAATTTCCAGCAACAAGCACGATTAGGTAATTTCAATGGGTACTTTACAGATTGGCACCCCACTGGCACCTTCTCCAACAGTGCTTCAATGCCAGGAAAAGAAAAACATCCATTTCCACTATCCTGCAAATCCAGGATGCTCCAACTTCAGGTTTGGAAATCCTAGAGTCCTAGACTTCACACTTTTTCACACTTACGACCGTTGTAGCATTCCCATGATCACACGATCAAAATTCAGACACTTGGCAATTGACTCATACTTACGACAGTCGCAGTGTCCCGGGGTGACGTGATCCCCTTTTGCGACCTTCTGACAAGCAAAGTCACGGTTAACAACCGTGCTCCTAACTTAAAAATGGCAGTGATTCACTTAACAACGGTTTCAACTGAACAGACCGTCATAAGTCGAGGAGTTCCTGTATGCATTATTAAGATTATTACATAAGAAGAGCTACAGAATGAGAAGGGAACTCATCTATTCATCTAGAAATAAGGAGAAATTTCCTGACAGGGAGAGCAATCCACCAACGGTACAGAAGTTGCCTTCAGAAGTTGTGGGAGCTTCATCCCTGGACGCTTTCAAGAAGAGGCTGGACTACCATTGGTCAGAAACGTGTAGGGTTAGGGAGTTGGACTAGATGACCTACAAGGTCCCTTCCAACTCTGTTAATCTGAAATATGAAAATCTACTTCCCTTTCCTGCTCAGTGCAGGAATTGTGCAAAAGAGGTATCCCTTACAGATTTCCAATTGAAAAGATTTCTTTTCTGCAAGGGCTGTTCTCCAATTCTCTGGGATTTCATGGACTTTACATTCTGATGGAAAGAAGGGCAGCCTTCAACTATATCCCGAGGCAGACTCCCACACTCTAAAGCAAGCCCCTACATTTGACTTACAAATGCCACACAGTGCAATGCAACCTCTCAGAATCAACTACGAGAAATGACTAGTAGCTTGCCTGCATTTTATTAACTCCCGAGAGAGGTCGAGATCTTGTTTCAGGAGCTGAGCCTTTCCTCCTCCTGGAGAAGAAGAGGGCAGAGGTCTAACACAGAGATGCACACAGAGACACACATATACAAACACCACACCGTTCCTTTGGCTCCATGATTTTTTGGTTGCTTGGGCCTATCCCAGCAAGTGCTTTGATATAACACTTCAATTACAGCTTCAATAACCCCTTGCTTTTTATAATTCTGTAATCCCTTAATTTGGTCAATGCAAGGTGTACATTGTCTATATCAGGGGCCTCCAAATCTGGCAATTTTAAGACTTATGGACTTCAACTCCCAGAATTCCTCAACCAACCAACATGAAGTCCACAAGTCTTAAAGTTGCCAAGGTTAGAGATCCCAGATCTGTATGAGACATTTTCAGAAGTAGACCAAATGTTGGGAAGGGGAATTTAACTCCTCCCCCACCATTTTCAGAAATATGCACTAATAGTGTAACTAAGATTAGTTGGGATGGGAAAACAATAAAAGCACTTTTCATCGATTCAACCCTGTCTTATGAACACAGCTTTGTGGGGTTCGTGGTACTCTCTGAGCTTGGTTGTTTTCTTGCAGATATTTTATTACCCAACCAAGTAACGTCATCAGAGCAAGCCTCCTGTATATAAACACAGAGCCAACCTTACTCCCTTCTGACACTGATGATGTTACCTAGTTGGATAATGTAGCATCTGCCAGAAAACAACCAAGCTCAGAGAGCACCAGAGAGCCCGCACTTCAACCCTGAGCTATAAATATTCTCTTCTATCGGAAACACAGCTTTGACTACGATTTCATGAGATGATCCTGGGATATGTTTTTCAATTTCTATTGCCTTTCTGCAAAGAAATATTTACAATGTAGAGATATAACAATACTGATCTACTTTACAAGATTATATTCCAAGTTTGCCTTTAAGCTAGATCAGACAGACAATTGATAAAAGTAAAATATTTTTTTTCTTTCAAATTGGAGATGCCTTCTTTTTTTTTTTAAAAAAAACATCCCCGTATTAAATAAAAGCCAATAAGCTTTTGTTCTAGATAGGCAGGCAAAGTTATTAGATTAGCGAGAAGCGTTCTAATGGAGCTAGTTCAGTTGTTCTCTCCCATGATGGATAATACACAAATCAGGTCCCTAATATATCACAGAAATATCAAATACGATGCTGCGTAGGAAAGCAATTTATTGCAAAGCCTACCTAGCAAAGTGAAATAGAACAAATATTGTTCTATTTCTTTTCCTTGATAAAAAGCCTCTCCTGATACGAATTTTCCATTTGGAAAATTTCTTTTAAAAACATGTTTTATGTACAAAGATGCTTATATTACTTTTATGTAGAATAATGCATGAGCAGAAAAGGCCTCTCTCTCCCAGCCCATTTCCTCTATTTCCATCAATGCCTGGAGGGAACATAAGATCTTCCAACATCCTTATTCTTGGGCATTTCTGTACCATTTGCATTATTTTTGCAAACTTGCCCAAAAACAAAAAAACCACGAAACACCTTAAATAACTGCCAATGTTGGTTTGGACTCTTGCAGTTGCAAAGTGAGGAAGGTATCCCCATTGGGGGTTTGACAGTGGTACTAATCCTCCTGGCTTTGTTGCTATAACCCATTTTCCATCGTTTACCCACCCACCCTAAAAGAGATGGATGGGCCAGGGTCTCCTTTTCAAGGTAGGCATCCTCAACTCAATGTCAAGAACTCCTGTTGCCTGTCGAGTCCTGAATAGACCACATGGGAGATCTGAGCTTTCACTTGTGAAGAAGATCACAACAGCACTACATAACTGTATGCACATCAGTGCACAGAATAACTGTGTGCACTGATGATGTTACCTGGTTTGGGTAATGAAATGCCTGCAATAAAACCACCAAGCTCAGAGAGCACCGAAGACTTCTAAGTGGCAACCCTTTAATGAATGAACTTCGCTCCTGATTCTAAGTCCAGAAGGTTGGGGTGACTCCAACTCCCAGAATTCCTCATTGGCCAACATGGTGATTGTGAAAATTTGTGAATATAAATTTACACTCTGGGAGGGCAGAGAGAGATTATTTATTTATGGAATGTTTAAAGCTGCCTAAATCCATGCAAGACTTTGATGAAGGATGCTCCAACACTGAACTGCACCTGGATGGCACATGCAACAAACTGGCATCATAATTCTCCAGAATCTCCATTCACCTATACTTGCACTGTGTATCTGATATTCTTCCTCCATGCCTCTGACTTTTTCCAGCAGTGGAAATCCCTACAGATCAATACAAATTCAGAGAAATAAAACTAAGTCTATTATTCTTTTTTTCTCTCCTTTTACAGGTGAAGGTATCTATGGAGGGCTGCATTATCATACATTAATCCTTTTAACTGAGTTTTGAACTAACTTGTTTGATGGCTTTGCAGAACACATGGAACCGTAAACAGGCTAGCTTTGCACAACTTGCTAAACCGCACACACTCAAACTCCCCAAACAAAATGAAAACTAACCAAGATTAACATTAGACACGTTTTACAGTGTGTTGTGTGAATGCCACTACTACCTTTAGCGGTCCTGGTAAAGAATGCTGTGTAAACATAAGCAATGTGCATGAAATAAGTAGGGAAGGGAAGGCTAGCAAGTAGGTGTGGCTTCCAAAATCTAAATCTAGCATGCTGATAAAAGATGAAGGCTGAATTTCCTAGTAGTTCCAGCCCTGAGCTACTTTATAAAAAGAAAGTATTATTCTATCGATGTTCCTCTAATAATCGTATGAGCACGGACTTCATAGTATTTTAACAGACATATATAAGCATACACCAAGATTCAGACACAAATCTGGCTCTGGTCGTTTTGCAAAAGGCCTTTTGGCTTGAAAAACTGTAAAACTGGAAGCACAATTAGACAAAACAAATGGCGCAAGACGCAAACAGGGGATGGCAGAAGACACAGAGGTGCAGAGAAAGAGAGAGAGGAAAAAACAAAAATGCCAGGGCAGGAACAGCAACAGAAGATAAGCCAATTTTTTTTTTTTGGGGGGGGGGGGGGGGGGGGAGATGGAAAAGGAATATACAACCAATGAAACAGAGAGGAACAAAAACACACAGGAACTAACTTTCGAGTTCAAGCTCAGGGTCACTGAGAGGACTGCTGAGGCCAGAATCTGCAGAAAACAGTAAAACAAAGAAAAACAAAAAATATATATACACTTGTATAAAAGAAATGCTACTCAACCAAGAAAAAAACAAAACAAAACCAACAACAGTAACAAAAAAAGGCAACACAAAATTTAAGAGGAAATGAAAGGATATTTTTCTCCTTCTTCTGGGAATAGGATGGCATGCGGGAAATTGTTTTTCCTTGTTTTCTTTGAGGCTGATGTTTTTATGTGCTTGATGCATTCCTAGCGCAATGGTATCAGGTCTTTTTAATAAACATGAGGATGTCTGTATTTATATCTGGTTATTAAAATAGAGAGACATTGAGCAAACAACCTTGGAAGGCACTTTCCCCATCCTTCTTGCCTATCTCCTCGTCAGAATGTGCTGAGGTGTTAATTTTTATTTATTACTTTTAAGATAGATTTGCTTTAAAAAGGTACGCTTCATGCCCACATTCTGAGACAGAGAAGCTGATGGAGTATCCTTATTTCCATATATGAATATAATGCACAAATACAGGCAGAAATATATGTATATATATATATATACACAGTATACCACATATGTATGCAAGTGAGAAGTATCCATGTTAAAAAAACAACCCAGACTCTCACAGAATAACTGAAAACAAAGACAAAGCCAATAGAAAGGTTATGCAAATATTTACCGAAAATATCAAAAACAATGGGAAGATATGTAAATTCAACATACAAATAAAAATGGTGTGGATTCTCTGTGCTCCAGAGCTAGCACTAAGTTGCAACATCATTTTCATTTGGCAAAGAATATGCTCCAATTAATTCAATGAAATTTCAACGGATACATATAGGATTGAACTGTTAAAGTCCTTTACATAGGATGCTTGGACCGTTTTTTAAGTCATGCAATATGCCACCACTTTTCCTAATTTCAAAAAATAAAAAAAATAAAAACTTGTCTTCTCACTATTATTCCAAAGTTCCTAGATTTATCCTACCTCTTAGGACCCCAAAAGATCTCTACTGAGCAGTCATTTTACTCTGTTGTGAAAATTCCTGCTGCTTTCTTTATTCTCATTTACTGCTAAAGCCTGACTTTCTCTTTGCATTAGCCTCTAAGGTGGCAAAAGAAATTCAGAATATATATTTAAAAAATGAATCGATACGATTAAAATAAAACTGATGGAGTTAACATCTGGGAATTCCTTTTTGCTAATACCAGGACTTGCTTCAATCTTCTTGCCCAAATAAAACAGACAAAAATCCTTAACACACCTTTAAAGGTAGTGTCTGGGACTGCTCATCTGGACATTGTGTGTAACAACCATAATCAAAAATTGTCCCCCTGGCAACACCAGGCTTCCTTCCAATCCACTGCATCGCTTCTTTCTTTTCCGCCAGTCTTGAAATTTGGACTGCAAAATTCAGAGCTTAAATCCATTTTCTTTAGTCTGCGCTACACAGGTGGGGGGCTTTTTTTTTTTTTTTTTACGACAACCCGCAAAGTTGGAAGTTATTTTTCTAAACAGAAAGATATAGAGAGGATACATACAGGTAGTTCTTGACCCACAACCCTTCATTTTGCAACCGTCTGAAGTTAATAACAGTGTTGAAAAAAGTGATTTACAACTGGTTCTTGCAATTAAGATCGCTGCAGCATCTCCCGCGGTTATGTGATCAAAATTTTGACACTTGGCAACTGGCATGTATTTATAATGGCTGCGGGATCATGGGGTCCCATGTCATTATCATTTATGGCCTTCCCAGCCAGCCTCTCACAAGCAAAGTCAATGCGGGAAGACAGGATCACTTAAATAACTACAGCGATTCATTTAACAACTGTGGCAAGAAAGGTTGTAAAATCAGGTGCGACTGACTTAACAGCCAATGTTGGTGCCAACTGTGATCATAAGTCAAGGACTACCTGTGCCTGCCTTTCACCGGTCCGAGCCAGTTAGGTTCTCAGGGAAAAATACAGAAGTAATTTTCCCCTGGACTCAACTAATCAAGAATATATTGGCAAAAGGTCTTCAGTTTTCCTGAATCATAGTAAGTTTTGAATGGTTTCTCTCCACCTCCAGAGAGGGATAAAGCAAAGAAAGGGAGATAAAATAGTTTGGATGATAATAGAGCACCTTGATCAAGGGGGCAACTGCCACTTAGCAATCTTCAGAAGATCCCACCCAAAGAGATAAAACTTGGGAGTTTTAAGCATTTGGGTTTAAGGTCCAATTAGAAGATTTAGGGCAGCAAAAAAAGCATCTGCTCAGTAACTGAAAGTCTCAGTTTGTACCAAATTTATTAAAAGATATTTAGTTCAGATTTAAAAAAAGATTATTTAGTCACCCAAATGATATTTTTGAAATATTAAAACCATGTTATTCTTTAAACACGATTATTCTAATCCTGCTATAAAGAAAGTGGATGTGACTTTTGCAAACGTAAACTTTGTAGTGCTTCATTCCAGATATTTGGGCTCTGGGTTTTTAAGTCCTGCCAGAGGAAAAAAAAGGACATCTTTACCTTTCTTCTGGCATCTAAGTTTTGGCCCAACCCTGTGAATATTTGTTTGTGATCCAAAATGCCTAAAACAACATAAATGAATAAACCTACAGCTGAGCTCCTGCATTTCGCCTATCGTTCTGGATAGCCAAAACCAAAAATTAATTCATCTTCCCTAGACCAACATCCCTTTAGTCTAAATCTCTGTTCCTAATCTAGAAATGTCCATTAAAAAAATAGAAGGGGTGGGGGAAGCGGGGAGAAAGGAAAGAAGAGAAAGTTAAGCGTGAAACCCCAGAGGCTCCATTTTACACTGGCAGAGGGGTATTCAGGGAGGCAGAGTTTTGCAACCAGTGTCTGTGGAATAACTTCCCCTCAGAGAGGGATAGATCAGCTGCAAAAGAGATGCTCTTGCAGCCTTTGCGATCTTGAAGGACAAAGGAGCTCAGACTTTCCTTCATCATGCTGGGGAGGGGAAAAGCCAAACAAAGAAAATTGTTTGCAGCCTCGTTGGGCACCAGCTGGATGAGCTGCCGTGTCAAGGCTGCCAGGAGTCAAAAGAAGCAGTTCGGGAAAGTATACCGGGCTCTGGGAAAAGAACTGGTGGTACGGGACTGCAGTGGGACAATGACTTTGCTGATTGTGGTTATGCTGCCTTGAGCTTTATCATCTAACCATAAACCTCTGGCATTGCCTTGGCTTGAATTTCCACTTGGGAGGGAGGAAGGGAGGGAGGAAGGAAGGAAGGAAGGAAAAGAAAGATACAAGGAAGGAACAAAGGAAGGAAGGATACATCGAAGAAAGAGGGGGGGGGAGAAGGAATGAAACAGGAGAAAGGGAGGGAGGGAGGGAATAAAAGAAAGATACAAGGAAGGAAGGAACAAAGGAAGCATCCACAGATAGAAGAAAGAGGGAAGAAGGAATAGTATCCAGGGGAGCCTATCCCACCAATCCAGGCACCTGTCTCTTGGCGTGTTGGGAATTCTCCCCCCCTCCCAGACCCTACCCTAAGCTGGAATTTGTTTCTGGAACTGCACTGCCCATCTCCTTCTTCTTCTTCCAAGGGACCTGTCCACACACACACACGCTACTATTGTTGGGTGGAAATATCCTGGACATCACTTTTATTTTGGCAGGGATATGTGCAAAGAAGCAATCCATCTTCCGTTAATGCAAAAGTGGAAATGCTGCTTCTTCCCATGGTGTCCTCAGCTGTTTGGTGAAATGTTATACAGATCGTCCTCGACTTACGAACGGCCATTCGAAGTTACGCTGGCACAGAAAAAAAAGTGACTTTTGACTGTTTTTCACGCAGTTGCAGCGTCCTCGGGGTCACATGATCAAAATTCTGGCACTCGGCCACAGCATGCATGTCGGATCACCTTTCATGGCCTTCCTAGCTGGCTTCCGACAAGCAAAGGCCATGGGGGATCCCGGATTCGCTTAATGACCATATGGTCCACTTAACAACTATAGCAAAAAATAGAAAAGGTTGTAAAACGGGAGCAAAACTCGCTTAAATATTGCCTTGCTTAGCAATGGAAATTTGGGGTTCAATTGTGGTCGTAAATCGAGGACTACCTGTAGTGAAAAAATATTATAGGAAGCATTCTCCCCTTTTTCCTCGTTCGCATAACCGTGTGCAAGTAAGAAAGCTTCTTATAAAATCCTTTCCAGCTGCAATTTAAAAAGAAAAAGAAAAAAGAGTACTTGTGTTAAAAATGAGTCAAAGGCTTTTTAAGAGGGCCACCGTTTTAAATCAATTGAAACAGGCATTGTTTTAAATCAATGTATTATTTAATCACCTAAGCGCCTTCTCTGTTAAGCAAAGCTAAATTCTCTCTATTCCACCAAGCAAATTCTTTCTATTCTACTGAACAAAATCACAAAAAAAATGTGCAAATTTCACCACCTAGTCCAGTGGTGGCTAACCCCTTTTGGGGCTCCTGTGCCAAAAACTGTGCGTGCGCTTGCACGCTCGTGTTCGCATGCCAGGACCCAGAAGGCAATGCGCACCCCCCCCCACGTCCCCTATGCATGCGCGCGAAATCCTCACCCACCCCCCGTTGTCCCCTTACCTGCACTGAACCTCACAGCTGATTTTCGGCAGGTTTGAGGCCTTTTTCGGCCTCCCAAAGGCTTGAGGAAGGCTTCTGCAGAAGTTACTTGCTCGTAACTTCTGGTATTTTCGGAAAAACAGGAAGTGATGAAACGGGGCCACTTTTCGGCCTGCAAAGCCTGCAGAAGCCTTTCTCAAGCCTTTGGGAGGCCGAAAATCAGCTGTGAGGCGCGTGCATGCCCAGTGAGGTAAGTTTGCCTGCAGCTCGCGTGCCGGCACAAATGGCTCTGCTTGCCACCTGTGGCACGTGTGCCACAGGTTCGCCATCACGGACCTAGTCTAATTTATTCAGCACAAAGGGAATAACGATGAATTATTGTGGTCCATATGCCCACCGGAAAACCTCATACAGCTATTTCAGATTTTTCCCCCCCCAAGTCCGTCTTGAATAAAACGGACTCAGTTTTTTTGCCTGTTAAGTCAGTGGGTTTACGTAAAGCGCACGCTATCTTGAAACTGGATTATACCGACGACATCTCACCAGATGGACAATGACACATGCATGTGTCTTTGCGAGCAGAACTTGGCCAGGGGCATGAAGTGGTGTCAGACGCATGCGGCCGTCTAGGAAAAGAGGGAGGGTTGGCATGAAGCTGGTTACCTGGCGTCTGGAAGTTGATGCGCCTCATTTCCACAGGATCTTTGGGGTGGTGAGGTGTGATCTCGGCGTTATTCAGTAAGCACTTGATCCGGGGCTCGGAGTCTTTGCGTTTGCTAGAGGGAGAAAAACAGGAGGGAGGGAGGGAGGCAGGCAGGAAAGAAGCCAATGGGTGAAGAGAAAGAGGAATCAAGTCCCAACAACTATCACACGCAGCTGGAACCTGCAGTGTTTAATCGGGGCAAACGATGCTCAACTTTATAGACAAATAAATATGTGACCTTTTTCAAACCCGGTAGCAGGGGGAATGATATATTAAAAGTAGAAACTGTGCTGAGGACCAGAAAATTAAGTCTTTTCAGTAAAGGTAGTCCTCAATTTAACGCAATAATAGAGGTGTAAAACGGGTCACCCACATAAATTTGGAAGCCACGAGGTTAAGCTCTATACTATAGTACAGATGTAAAGGGGTGCTATCAGCTACCTCAAGCCTCCTTTGGCAATTATCTTTCTTTATCTTTAATTGTCGTCTCGTTCAGAGTTAAAATTGGTTTGTAGTTGTACCACCGGCAATAGGCCAGTAAACTAAAAGGGCCTGTCTCTTCCATTTTTATTTTCTCCAGTTTTCAGAGGTATACCTGATTTTCAACTGCATCAAATGAGACAGTAAGCATTAAAAAAAAAACACCTCTTACCTGTCTGGTTTGCTGTCCAGGGAAGCACAGAAAGGAAGTGAGGGGAAAAAAAAAAGATATAATATGAGACAGTAGCTGGGAGATTCTCGGTTATCCTTAAACCTACTAATGGCTCAGGAACCTTCCCAATTCAAAGCTGATGGTCACTTTTGGAAGTTCAGCCTTCTAGGTATATTTCTGGCCGACATCACTTATCCTCCACAAGATGTCTTCCAGATATTTGGGGTTAGAGCTCTCTCCTGCTCCCCCCACCTTAGCTATCAGGTTCTTAACAGATAATCAGAGTTGGAAAGGACCTTGTGGGTCATCTAGTCCCACTGCCCAAGCCGGAGACCCTACACCATTTCTGACAGATGGGAGTCCAATCTCTTATTGAAAGTCTCAAGTGATGGCGCTCCCACAACTTCCGAGGGCAACTTCTGTTCCATGGGTTGACTGTTCTCCCTGTCAGAAAGTTTCTCCTTATTTCCAGGTTGAATCTCTCCTTGTTCAGTTTCCATCCATTATTCCTTGTCTGGCCTACGGGCGCTTTAGAAAATAGCTTGATGAATAGCTTTAGAAAATAGCTATCATGTTTGGAGTACACCAGGTTGGAAAAGTCTGAGTTTAGAGTAAGAGTTTTCATATATCTCTATCTCTCTATCTCTGTGCGTGTGCATACATATATATCTCCTTTTATTATTTGTATAAATAACTTAAGGTGACAGGCATAACAAATACGCCTTCCTCCTCCTATTCCCCCCAACAACAACCCTGTGAGGTGGGCTAGACTGAGAGAGGGACCTGGCCAAAGACGGTTTTGGTGTCTAAGGCGGAAGTAGAACTCAACGTCTCCTGGTGATTGGCTCAAAGTCACCAACTGGCTTTCATTCCTAAGGCTGAACTAGAACTCGCTGTCTCCTGATGATTGGCCACTACCTTAACCACTTAACCAAATGGGGTCGTGGGGTTAGATTATTTTCCCCGAGGAGACTCAGTTCTTCAAGGAAAAAAAAAAATCTGCTTTAAAAAGAAAAAATGGAATAGCCCAGCCCATGGAAGAGGATCCTTACAAACCCAAGAAATGGACACTCCCACTTACTTCTTGTACAGGAGGATTGCAATAACAATGCAGATAATAAAGACTACAGCTAAAACCGGTCCAATCACCCAGATCAGCCCCTCCTCTCCTTCAATTTTGGGCTGGGGATCAGAGCTGTCCATCTGGATGGGATCAGAGAAGGGACTGGCAGCGTAGACCTGGAAAAGAAATCAAGGACAACAAGCGTGTAAAGCAGAGGTGGGAAATTACGGCCCCTTTAGGACTTGTGGACTGCAACTCCCAGAATTCTTGAGCCAGCCGGCTTAGGAATTCTGGGAGCCGAAGTCCACGAATCATAAAAGGGCGGTAGTTTCCTACCCCTGATATAAAGCAGGGGGCCCCAAACTTGGCCACTTTAAGACTTGTGGACTTCAACTCCCAGAATTCTCCAGGCAACATAGCTGGAGAGAATTCTGGGAGTTGAAGTCCACAACTCTTAAAGTGGCCAAGTTTGGAGACCCCTGACATAAAGGAACACACCTATAGCAGGATTTCTCTTCGTCTTCTCAATGGGGGAAAGTAGATAAGGGGTAGAAAGCAAAGACTTGATTTCACATCAGCAAACGTGAGTGAAAATCCACGTCAAAAACTGTAATCTGGCATTGTGGCTGAGGTATAGAAGGCAGGTAGTGCTCGACTTACAACAAGTTCATTTAGTGACTGTTCAAAGTTACAACGGCACTGAAAAAAAGAGACTCGGGGCCAGTTTTCACATGACCACTGCAGCATTCCCTCTGTAGAAATTCAGGCGCTTGGCAATCGACTCACATTTATGACGGTTGCAGTGTCCCAGGGTCACATGATCCCCTTTTGCGACCTCCTAACAAGGGGGAACCCAGATTCACTTAACAATAGTTTGACTAATTTAATCACTAAAGCGATTCAGTTAACAACTGTGGCAAGAAAGGTCGTAAAATGGGGCAAACTCACTTAACATAAGTTTCATTTAGCGACATAAATTTTGGGCTCGATTGCGGTCATATGTTGAGGACTACCTGTCACTGATTTAAATTACGTCACTTGAGATGTGCAAAATTCACTGACTGGGGAAGGAAAGGTTCCAAAATTCTCCGGAATGAATTCTCTCAGTGCAATTTATGAGTTTCTCCAAGTAAATCAAGACTTTTTCAAGAGGTTCTGGGCATAACATTCCAGATACAGCAAGCATTTCCTGAGGCCAGTTTTCCTCTGAACTGGTGAGTTTTGCAAACTCTTGTTGGTTATTAAACTAACCCGTTTCTGAGTTTGCATTATAATTAGACGAAGCAGCTAGGCCTGTGCAAAGTGCTAAGAAAAAAGGAAAAAAAACCCCGCAAACCACAAGATTAATGTTAAATAAATTTAGCCTGCTGAGTAAATACAGCTTCTACATTTTAATTGACCTGCCAAAATGGGGTGGTATAATCTCAGTAGGTAGGACAGCCGTGTTCAAATTTAATTTAGCCTTTTATGCTCTTGCTCTATTATTGCAGTGTTGGAGAAATTTCGATGCACGTCATTTTTTTTATTTTTGTACTTTATGCTGCATATTACATTTCTACGTTTGGGCTTTACGGATATTGACTCCGAATGCTTTGTAAGATATTCATTGTAAGAAATCATACCATCTTATCGCTTTCCGCTGCCCCTCAAAATATTTTGGTGGTTTTTATTTGCAGCACAGTAGATTAATACCATTCAGGCAAAAGCGATAAAAACACAGAAGAGGAACCATCCCAACAAGAAGCTTGTTTGTTTCTGATCTCCGTTAAAAGGAGATCGATGTTAACCCATTCAGGCTCTTAAAAGGGTCCTAAGAATTAGCGGGGAGACGCAAAGGAGGAACTCACGGCTTCATTGGCGTGCAGAACGGCCAAAACGAAAATGACGTATTTCTGTCCGGCCTCCAGGGCTTTATTTTCAAAGTTGTCGTAGCGTTTCATATCCCCGAGGATGAAGAAAGGGGGCAGGATGTGGAAACGGGCTGCGATGTATGCTTTATGGGGATCCAGTTGACGGGAATGGCGGAGGCTTCGCCGTTGCAGCCTTGAGATCTGCTGAATTAGCTGGAAAAGGAGAAAAGAGGGTATCCAGGTGAGCCGAGATGAATAAGGATTATGTGATGACCCAAAGGGGTGTGGCACAAAGGCAACACAGTCAGATAATAAGTGAGAGTCCCTTTATTAGCTCCAACTTTGCCCCCAATGTCCTGGTTATCTTCTGGGCTGGAGAAAAACTCTCCCAGGAACAGCCTTGGGCTGCAGAGAATCAAGTCCAAAACGTGGTAAAAAAAAACTGTAATTATAAGTCCAATCAAGGCAAGATGAGGTAATTAGTCCGGCAAGGCAGGAGCAGTTGTTTCCAGATGTGAAAGTATGGCAGTAATTCAACTCAGTTGGGAGGATGCTAGGAACACAGATAACCAAACTCAACACAAGATAAACTCACGTTTGTTCCAAGCAACCGCAGCTCTCAGCTGCCTCTTCTTTAAACTCTCTTCCCAGGTGTGCCTAATGAAGGGAATCAGGGCCCTTTCCTCCCCCATAAGCCACGCAATCCGCATTGCTCCCTTCTCCGTTCTTCCCTGTGTGCCCCAAGATGAAGAGGGGGTGGGCCTGGGTCTTCCTCTGAACTCCCTTGTTCTACCTCTGCCTTGCTCTGCCCAGCCTGACTTTGCCCTTTCCCAGTTTCCTCCACAGCCAACAGAGTCACACTCTACTCTCTGTCAGCTGTTCATCTTCCTCCTCAGATTCAGATTCCGACAGGGGCATGACAGATTAATATAAATAAATAAAAGCAGCCCTTTAGTTACAACCATTCATTTAGCAACCATTCAAACTTTACAAGCACTGAAAAAAAAAACCAACTTACAACCAAAACTTGTGCTTACAACCACTGCACCATCGCCAAGGTCACCGGATCAAAATTTGGACGCTTGGCAACCAGCATGTATTTATAATGGTTGCAGCATCCTGGGGGGTGATCATCATTTGTGACCTTCCCAGCCGGCTTCTGACAAGCAAAGTCAATGAGGAAAACTGGATTCACTTAACGGCAGCATGATTCATTGAACTGTGGTGATTTGTTTTGTTTTAGATCAGGGGTCTCCAACCTTGGCAACTTTTAAGACTTGTGGACTTCAACTCCCAGAATTCCTCAGCCAGCAAAGCTTAGAAGGCTCTCTGTAGGGTTCATTGTCAAATGTTCCCCCCCATCCCCAGTAAAGATATATAACTACAGCATTCCCAGGATCTACTAAGGTAATTAATTACAAGTTCAAAATATGAAATATCTTAAGACTTTTTCATGGAAAATCCCCACTTACCTCTTCTAAATCCATTTCTTCTGGACTATTGTATGAATTTTGGAACTGGCCACTTTTAGTTTTCTTCAAGGGTAGCACCACAATGTAATATGCTCTGATAATCAAAAAAAGGAAGAAAAACAGGCCAAAGAATAGATTAAAAGAAAAGAGACAATGAAGGAGAAGAGCTAATCTAGATGGGAAATGTGATTAACGGAGGTAAGACTCAAAGCAGGAAATATATATTGAGCTGTCTCATCAAGGGAGAAAAATAATTGTCTCCAAACTCACAGGATTTCTAGTTAATCCTAGATAGGTTTCCTCTCTATTTATTTCAATAAATAACACGTTTTAGGTTGTTCAGGCAGCAAAACCAGAATGGGACAACTTGCCACAGCCAATTCACCATGTCCAATTCACCACAGCCAACTCACCATGGCCAACTTGCCATAGAACAACTCATCGTGGGACAGTTCAACAATTCAATTATTTCAGATAATTAAAACATTATGTTATTTTTGTCATTTACATTTCATTTGGTCCCTCCTTTTGCAGCCTTTCTTTAATGATTCTATTCCACCATTTTTTCGATATTAGTGTAACTCTTGTCCCGTGGCGAGTTGTTTTGTGGCAAGCTGGCCATGGTAACTTGTCCAGCAGTGAGTTGGCTGCAGCAAGTTCTCCTAGACCCCGACAAAACTGGCCCATGTTGTAAAGATATTTAGGTGCAGGCGGTGAAAATGTCTGGGTCTAGCTTGAAATGATTTTTTTCCTGTGTTTTATAACTGAATAATAGTCCATGGTTTGTACACTGTGATAGCTTCCTGCCTACTTCATATAAAAAGGCCAAATGCAAATACAAAGGGAGAACTATCAACTGGGTAGCTGGCCTCAACAGGGTCCCCCAATGTATACATACTGAACTGGGGAGTCTGAAGTCCTGACATCTGGCAGATTCACCATCACGTTGCCATCTATTTCGTGTCGGTAAGACACCTCTGGCTTTCTGCTCAGCATATTGGCTGCGGTGGACACCATCACTTTCTGCTGAAGATCTCCTTTCTCGCTTCTCTGGCCCACGAGGGAGAATCGGTAAGATGTTTGTGGCTTCAGGTTGGTGATGAGCTTCTTGGTGGCACTCCCACCCACCTCAATCTCTTGGCCAGTGTTCTCGTGCCGGATCTGTGAGAAATGGAGGAAGAGGGCATGGAAGAAACAAGTCAATGACTACTTCAGCTTCAACCGCAACAATACAAGGGCACACAACAGATAACAAACTCAATGTAAACCACTCCAAACTCGACTGCAGAAAGTACGTCTTCAGCAACAGAGTGGTCAATGCCTGGAACGCACTACCTGACTCTGTTGTTACATCCTCCAACCCCCACTCCTTTAACCTCAAACTATCCACTATTGACCTCACCCCATTCCTAAGAGGTCTGTAGGGGGCGTGCATAAGCGCACCATCGTGCCTCCCGTCCCTGTCCTATTGTCCCTATTTATTCGTACCTATTTCCTTTATTCTTACTCATGTTTATTCTTATACCTATTATCTTGTAAGCGATGGACGAATCAAATAAATACATAAAATAAATAAATAATTGGGCCCATGTAAGAAACCCAGAAGAATCCTGGTATATCAGACCAACATTAACCTTCAACTTACAGGTAGTCCTGCTAGGCAGGACAAGAAGCAATAAGAATAGAAACTAATCGAGGAGAGAAGCAACCTGGAATTAAGGAGAAACTTCCTAACAGTGAGAACAATTAGCCAGAGGAACAACTTCCCTTCAAAAATTATGGGTGTTCAATCACTGGAGGCTTTTTAAGAAGAGGCTGGACAGCCATTTGTCTGAAATAGTATAGGGTTTCCTGCTTGAGCAGGGGGTTAGACTAGAAGACCTCCAAGGACCCTTCCAACTTTGTTATATTCTGTTCTGTTACTTACAACAGGTTGTTTAGCGGTGGTTCAAAATTACAGTCACTGAAAAAGGTGACTGATGACTATTTTTCTCATGACTGTTGCAGCATCCCCATTGTCAGGATTCCAGCAGTTGCCCTAACTAAATCATGAGCTTCAAGCTAAGCTTCAAAAACTTCAAAGGATTTATTAGGAGCAAACATGTCGGTATGACCTGTATGTAGCCTATTCTGAGACGTGTAATGTGCTGGTTTCCCCTTGGAGAATAATTCATATTCTCCAACGAAAACATGTTCATAGCTGAGAGTCATAAATCATGTTCTCCAATTAGGGATCCCCACCCCCCACCCCCGCAGAAATCCCAGTAGCTTAGTTACAATCTTTGCAAGATAAGAATGGAATGCACTTTCGGTTCCAAACTGCTGCACTGCTCTTTTAAATTTCTCTCCCCGCCCCCCACCACTACTTTTCTGTTCATGGCAACTCTAAAACATGCATAGAAATGTTTTATGAGTTGACACCCATGGTCAAGTGATCAAAATTAGGACACTTGGCAACTGGTTCATATTTATGACGGTTGCAATGTCCCGGGGTCATGTCATCCCCTTTTGGGAACTTCTGACAAGCAAAGTCAATGGGGAAGCCGGATTCACTTAAACGACCGTGTTAACCACTTAACAACTGCAGTGATTCACTTAACAGTTGTGACAAGAAAGGTCGTAAAATGGGACAAAGTTCACTTAACAACTGTCTCGCTTGGCAGCAGAAATTTGGGGCTCAATCATGATCATAAGTTGAGGACTACCGTATTTCCCACAGTAATCAATCGAAACCCCACAAATAGGATCTGGACATGCTGCGTCTTTCTATTTATGTTCCACAGCAGCGTTTCATTGTTTTCATTGACATGGTTGGGAAATCCGACAAACCCTTTACGCCTATTATGCCTAGTAGCCATTGTGAGTGTCAGCCTCTGTGGATTTTTTCCAGCTGTCCAAATCTTTTTGTCATTACAATGTTGCATAGCACCAAATTCCCTAATTTAGCTAAACAGATTTCAATTAAGCAGCAAGAAAGAAGTAATTTCTGAAGGGATAATTTGTTTGAAAATGATCTAGGTTGCTTTGGAAGAGGGCGCAGATTTTTGAGCAAAATACTGCATATCCAAAAATTTATTAGGTCAACATTATTCAATCAACGGTTTATTCAAAAATTGGTTCCAAACTAATAATTTTGATTGAATAACCTTTCAAAACAAGGGTGATGACATGATTGTCATGGATGTATGATTCCTGCAACCTTCGCACAACAGACGCAATTTGGCTGGTGATCAACCAACCAAATTGCCTCTGTTGCACCAGGGGTGGGATTCTACCAGTTCAGACTGGTTCAGGTGTACCGGATGTTAAATTTGCATCTGGTTCGCCAAACCGGTAGTTGAACTGACCGGCTGGCCCTGCTCACCCCTCCCCTCCCCGGAGTCTCCACATGGCCCATTTTTGATACAGGTAAATGCAGGGTCCCCGCGTGGAGGCTCTGGGAGGGGGAAAAAACCAGCCCTCCTGGAAGTCCAGAAATGGGCCTGTTTCCATCTTCCGGAGGGTCTCCAGAGCCCAGGGAGGCCGTTTTTGTCCTCCCAGAGGCCCGAGGAAAGCCTTTGGACCCTTGGGAAGGCGAAAAATGGCCCTCTCTGAAGTTCCGGCGGGCCACGCCCACCATGGCCGCGTCCACCCAGCAACTGGGCAGCGAACCGTTTGCTGGGATTTTTTAATCCTACCCCTGTGTTGCACAAAGGATGCAGGATTCCCCCTTTCAGAGGATTTCTTGCAGACACTGATGTTAAACATGTACCTTGTATGAAATAGGGGAGTTGTAATTTTCAGGAAACTCCCAGCCTAGAAGGACCGACGTCTTGGTGACCATTTTCACTCTGAAGTTTTTGGGAAAAACTGTGGGGAAGAAAAACAATCAGCGAAGGGCGGAGCAGGTGACTCGAAGTGAAAATGGCACAATTTGGATTTCATCAACGGAGACACGTTTTCTACACAATTAGGTGCTACTCCAGTCCCCCAAAGTGACCTCTGTGCCATTTGTGCCTCGTGAAAACTCTTATCCACACCTGCAACACCCTGTTTTGCTACAAATGAATAAATAAATAAACCTCTTATGATCCCAGGGCCCTTTACAGCATTCCCACTGCAATGAAAATCAACTACAAATTCTCCTGTTTGGCTGCTGAGGACAGAAGGTGTGCATGGAATCGTGCAACTTTGTTGTTTTAAAAACTGGCTTGCATAGGTGTATTTTTTCCTTTCGCCGGCTTGAAAAAATAGTCTTAGTCATAATCATAATAAGAAAAGAAAAAAAAAAAAAGAGTTCAAAGAGAGGGAAGGGGGCAAAAGCTGAAGAAAAAACTCCGCCCACCTGTGATGGCAACTGCTCCGCCCAGCTGTCAATCAAGAGGCTGCCTGGACTGGACTTTTAGCAGAAAAAGGTAAAAAAGACTTACCTGCTGAAGGCAAAGGGAAACCACCCGCCTTGTTATAGGATTAATTGTTTTTAAAAGCCTGCTTGTTTTTTTGTTTTTTGTTTTTGGCTTTGCTCTGCTTTTTTTAACGGTACTCACACGCCATCTTCAAGCCGGCGAGGAGTTTAGGACTACAGTTGTTTTTGGTTTAGAGTTTGGCTTCTCTGCCTCCCAGGATTCAGACCCTTGGGGCAGAAACTGGCAAGTCCTACCTTGATCCAGAAGGACCGTCCGATATTGAACAGTGGGGCTGAACGGCCCGGGACCTTTACTGGTATGAGCCCGGATTTTAACATCGTAAGCGGTGTTGGGCTTGAGACCGTTCAGGATGTATGAGTTTTCTGGAGAGGGAGGGAGATCTGTCTCCTGGGGGTTTCCCGAAGAGGTGGTCTCTCGGTAGGCCACGGTGTACTTGACGATGACACCGTTCCTCTCGGCTAAGACGGGGGGCAACCACTTGACCTGGACCGATCTGGAGGTGATGTTGCTCGCCTCGAGAATCTGAGGGTAACCCTTTGGCACATCTTCTGGGATGGTGATTTCTTGCAACGCTTCCTCCCCAAAGCCGGCCCGGCTCTTCACGGCCAGCTTGAAGACGTACGTGGCACCTTTGTGGACATGGGTGGCGGTATATTTGTCCTCCTGGGTGGCGAATTCCAGGGTGGCCAGCGGGTCAACGTCTTTGCGGCCGAACTGGAGGCGGTAACCCAGCACCTGGCTTTCGGATTCCAGAGGGGGTTCCCATTTGACCAGGAGAGAGTTTTCATGGGTGGGATACACAGACAGGATCGGTTTCCCTGGGACTGGAAAACAAAGAGAAAATGGGTTTGCGATGGGAAGCAACCTGCCAGTATGGAATAATAATAATAATAATAATAATAATAATAATAATAATAATAATAATAATAATAATAATAATAATAATAATAATAATAATAATAATAATAGACTATACTGAGATATATTGCAAATTTCATTTTCATCTGCTGCAAGGATATACAATATTAGGTTTTAGGAGAGTTGTGTTAGTCAATGTGGGCCCAAAATCAGTAGTAGTGTAGGAGCACCTTTTCTGGCACATAGAATTTATTCAAATAAAAGATAGAAAACTTCTGCCTTCAAATAAAACATGTGAGTTGGAAAAGATGCTTCCAGTTTCCTTCTGATCTTTCTTTCTTTCTTTCTTTCTTTCTTTCTTTCTTTCTTTCTTTCTCTTTCTCCCTCCCTCTCTTTCTTTTACTTCTTCCTTTCCTTTCCTTTCCCTCCCTTTTTGCATTTAAACTTTTGAACTTTTAATTAAAACAAATGAGATTAATTGCTTTGTACTTAATAGTCCCCTGATTTCAAGGCTGAGTAACCCGCTTAGATTGTGACTTAGACTCAATAGATACAAACCACTGGAAACTTGGACTATTGATTGGTTTTATTTTTTAAATCTCTCCCCTGGTAACTAGGGAAAGTCTTTTTATTTTACACAAATGAATAAAAGAAATGCACAATTAGAAGAAATCAAGTTGAAGACTAGTGTAGAAATGACTCTTAATAATAAAACATGTTTTCTATTTTAACTCCAGCCCAAATTATCCTACTTTGGAGATATGGCTCTCTGGAGAAGGCTGTAATACTGGGAAAGGTGGAAGGAAAGAAAAGAAGAGAAGGACCAGCTTCAAGGGAGATGAATGCAGTTTACATCAGTGATGGGTGCTTTGTTGAAAGACCTGAAGGGCCAAGTTGGGGACAGATCATCCTGGAGCAAACCTTGTTTGGTCACTCAAAGTCAATCCTGATTTGATGGCACACAACCTATCGAACAACTTAAAGATCTAGTTCTGATGCTGGGAAAGGAGGATGGAAAGAGAAGAGGACGACCAGCAACAAGGTGGATGGACTCATCCAGTTTTGGTCATCACAATATAAAAAAGATGTCGCAACTCTAGATAAAGTACAGAGTTGATTAGGAAGCTAGAGGCTAAAACATACGAAGAATGGATTTGGGTTTGTCTAATATAATGTCAGGGGTGACATGAGAGCCGTCTTCCAATATCTGAAAGACTGTCACAGAGAAATAAGGAGGATCGACATATCCTCCAAAGCACCTGAAGGCAGGACAAGAAGCAACAGATGGAAACTAATCAAGGAGAGACGCAACCTGGAATTAAGGAGAAATTTTTGACAGTGAGAACAATTAATCAGTGGAACAACTTGCCTCCAGAAGTTATGAATGCTCCAGTACTGGATGTTTTTAAGAAGAGACTGGATAGCTATTGGTCTAGAATTGTTATAGAGGTTGTCAACATTTCAACTAACCAATTCCAAACCAATAAACTCCATGACAAGCATTTCTTCAAAGTTCCATGACAAGCATTTCTTCAAAGTTCCATTTTATTACAGTTGTCCTATTGACACATCTGGGAAAACCCGAATCTGAGAGTTCCGGGTTTTCCCTTCCCAAAAGAAAAATCAAAGATCCCTCCCCTGCATGCACCAGTCCATCACATGGCCCAATCAAATCTTCACCCCAACTGGAGACCTTCCTCCAGACACTCCCTTCCAGGTGCAGGGAAACATGTCCTTGACTCTCTGAGAAAGAATGTTGTTGTGTCTAATCTTCTATCTCACTATGAAATCCCCCCCTCCCAAATTTCCAGGCACTGAATGTGGCAGCCTCGAAACTTCCGAGTAAAATATGGCTTCCAAGGCTGACAAGGGTTCCTGCTTGAGCAGGGGGTTCGACTAGAAGACCTCCAAGGTCCCTTCCAACTCTGTTATTCTTTATAGAAGCAATGTTGGGAGATCAGAGAAAATCTATCTACGTGGCCTATCCAAGAGTTGACGGTATATAATCAATCAATTTTAACCATTTTCTTTAAGCTCTTTATCTACACTATATTCTTTAAAGCCTAATTTCACTATAATCTCTCATCTCTTTCTATGTTGTATCGCTAATATATGTTGCTTTATGGCTGATTTATCTCTATCTGTAGTACTAATCTTTCTCTATCTCTATAGTCATTCTCTCTGAAGCGGTAACATTTTTCCTGCAGAGTTTAATTCGACTTTTACAGATAGTCTTCAATTTATGAGCCTAACATTTCTGCTGCTAAGCAAGACAGTTGTTAAGTGAGATTTGCCCCATTTTACCAGCTTTCTTTGCCAGAGTTATTAATTGAATCACTGCAGTTGTTAAGTGAATCATAGGGTCATTAAGCAAATCCAGCCTCCCCAATTGATTTTGCTTGTCAGAAGGTGCAAAGGGGGATCACATGACCTTGGGACACTGCAACCGTCATAAGTACGAGACAATTGCCAAGAGTCCGAATTTTGATCACCTGACCATGGGGAACACCGCAACATTTATAACTGTGAAAAATGTTCATAAGTCACTTTTTTCCATGCCGTTGTAAGTTTGGGCATTAAATGAATAATTGTAAGTTGGGGACTACCTGTAATTCAACCTGTGTTTTTAAGTTTCTGGTTTTTATTTCTTTTCCATCCAAAATTTGTTCTTTCCTCCGTCTTTTCAGTTTATTTGTTCCTGACAGGGGTTCTTTATCTTTCTCCTTTCCCAACCCCCTAATTTTTATTGCCTCTGAGAGAAAGAGCTAGGAGAGTTTTTTCCTCATGCTACTCTGAGGAAAGGGATAAAATGCTTCTTTCTCCTAAGTTTTTTCAGCTGCAGCCTCCTTTCTGTGTGTCCTCTCCTCATCAGGACAGTCTATCTTTCAGTCTGCCTCTTTATTTGACTCCGAGTGTTTGGCTCTCTTTATTTAGCTTCCTCTTCGAAATGGCTATGGCGACAGAGTCCTCAGGCAGCCATCTTGTCTTCTCCCTCTTCTTGCCTCCTGCCCAATCAATGCTTTGATTGGCTGCTGCGGTTTGGCTGCTACCATTTGATTGGTAGCTGGGTTGACTTGACGATGGGGGGGAGGGCCAAGAGAGGGAGGGGAAGGCGTACAGGTGCTTATCACCTGTTCAGACAGGTGGTGCTTCCACACTAGCAATCCGCCATATTGGCAATTTTATGGTGTATTTATTTATTACATGATTTTTCTGGATGCTTGTAATATAAGCCCTACACCAAAAATAAGTCCGTTAAGATTGTCAACCAGACGCATTTAGTATGCTATTTCCCTGAAAATAAGGCCTAACTGGAAAATAAGCCCTAATGCATCTTTTGGACCAAAAATTAATATAAGACCAAGTCTTATCTTCGGGGAAACGCAGTAGATTGCTACCCCACTTTTATTGCTGTTTATAAGTAACTCGAGGCGGCAAACATACAGGTAGTCCTCGACTTACAACAGTTCATTTAGTGACCGTTCAAAGTTATAATGGAACTCCCCAAAGTGACTTATGACCATTCTTCACATGACCACTGCAACATCTCCATGGTCACGTAATGAAACATCAGATGCTTGGAAAATGACTCGTATTTATGACAGTTTAGTTTTCCTGGGGCCATATAATCACCTTCTCACAACCAAAGTCAACGGGGAAGCCAGATTCACTTACGGGCTTAAAAATATGGGGCTCAATTGTGGTAATAAGTCGAGGACTACCTGGACATAATACTACTTTTCCTCCTCCTGTTTTCCCCTCAACAACAACCCTGTGAGGTGGGCTGGGCTGAGAGAGAGAGAGAGAGGGACTGGCCCAAAGTCACCCAGTTTGCTTTTTTGCCTAAGGCAGGACGAGAATTTCTTGAACTTCAACTCCCAGAACTCCCCAGCCAGAATTCTGGGAATTGAAGTCCACATGTTTTAAAGTTATGATAGGAAACCCCAGAGCTTCAAGATCTGTGAAAACAGAATGGTCCCCAAGAAAGCATCCTTCCAGGGAATGGATTTCATCTTCCAACTGTACTTAGTCTTAAGTCAAGGACTACCTGTACTGCTTTTATCTAATAAATTATACTGAGTGCCGATGGAGAAAACAGCCAATACATGAATTAATTATCTTCTTCAAATGCTTAGCAGTGGAAAAGAAATCCAGTGATCAGTGACCCACTGCAAAGATTTCAGGGGGGAAAAAAGCATTACCTGAAACATTGGGAAATATAATTAAAAATTATCATTTTGAAGAAGAAAGACATTGAACATTTAACTAATTGCTGATCCGCTGAAAAGGCTGCACTGTGTTGCTTCTATTGATGCATCATGAAAGAATTAAAAAAAAAAAGACTACTTCCACAAATGGCTTACTATAAAAGTTGATGTTATGAAAAGTAATGTTCCTAAATATTAGGCACATCAAGGGTTTCTGTTGAATATTTCGGCTGGAATATCCCCCCTCTGTTTTGTAGGGGGTGAAAATGGAAATAAGGGGGATTTATGGGGACTGATGTCAAAAAAGGGAATGGAAGCAGATGATCAAAGCCCAACCCCCATTTATGTCCAAGCGAAGTATGCAATCAATAAACAGTGAATATTTGTCACTCGGGGTTGAGCATGGTTGCTTTCTTGCAGCCGTTTCATGACCTGACTAGGTAACATTATCAATGCTAGAAGGGAAAGGGTTTTGTGGAGGAGGAGGATTAGGAGGATTTTAGGGTCCTCGGTGCTCTCTGAGTTCGTTGTTTTCTTGGGAGACGTTTCATGACCCAATTAGCTAACGTCATCAGTGCTAGAAGGGAGCAGGGAAGGAGGAGGAAGAGGAGGGGGATGACTGTGAGGTTCTTGATGTCCTCTGAGCTTGGTTGTTGACCCAAACTAGGTAACATCATCAGTGCTAGAAGGGAGAGGAGGAGGAGGAGGAGAAGGAAGAGGAGAAAGATTGTGGGGTCCTTGATGCTCTCTGAGCTTGGTTGGTTTCTTGCAGATGTTTCATGACCCAACTAGCTAACATCATCAGAGCTAGAAGGGAGTGGGGAAGGAGGAGGAGGAGAAGGAAGAGGAAGAGAAGGAGGTGGAAGAAGATGACTGTGGGATCCTTGGTGCTCCGAGCTTGGTTGTTTTCTTGCGGACATTTCATGATCCAAACTAGATAACACGATGATTCTGTCACTGACACCCCACCGCAGATGATCTTACATGGGTGTGTACTGCTAGTCCTCGACTTAGCTGTCTGGAGAATTCTACCAAAATATATATTTAATCTTCATGTTATCAATCTATCCTGGCAAGCTTCTATTTCATTACTTAAGGCAGACTATAAATTCTGTACTAAACTACTTGCTCAGCCTCTTAAATTAATTACAGGCGAAACGCTACCTCTGCATCAATCCAGATGTATGCCAAACCCAATAACATGGCGAGCGTAGATGGAGAGTTATTCTATGTAATATAGTTTTGTAAAAATAATTCAATTCTCCATTTCCTTTGATTTCTAGATACAATGAGAGCCTGTGTGTGAAAGGATGATTTTTGGAAACAAACTATAAAAATGAAAAGGCAAATAAAAACTAACAGACTATGTCAACACGTAGAGAAAATTTAATATAGCTGATATAGGATTATTACGGTGGGAGCTGTGCATACAGGTAGCCCTCAACTTACAACAGTTCATTTAGTGACCATTTGAAGTTACAATGGCACTGAAAAAAGTGATTTAAGACCATTTTTCACACGTATGTTCGTTGCAGCATCCCTGTGGCCCCATGATCAAAATTCAGATGCTTGGCAACTGACTCATATTTATGATGGTTGCAGTGTCCCATTGGGGGGTCACATGATCCCCTTTTGCGACCTTCTGACAAGCAAAGTCAATGAGGAAGCCGGATTCACTTAACGACCATGTTACCAACTTAAGAACTGCAACGATTCCTTTAACAACCGTGGCAAGGAAAGTCATCAAACGGGCAGAGGTGGGGTTCAAATTTTTTAACAACCGGTTCTGTAGGCGTGGCCAGGAAGGCAAAAAACGGAGCCTGAGGGGGGAGGGGCACGCTCAGTTTTGGAGCCTTCTGGGCCTCAGGGAAGCCTCCTTTGGGGAGGCGTTTTTGCTCCCAGGAAGCTCCCCTGGGGCCTAGAAGGCAAAAAATGGAGTGCGAGTGGCGGAGGGGGGGGCAGGTGGGGGGGGTGTTGCTGTGCTCCCCCTCGTTCTGTTTTTTGCGTTCCTGGACCTCAGGGAAGCCTCCTGGGTGAAGCAGTAAGACAGCGAAGGAGATCCTGGCACATCGGAATGATCATCAGCTGATCATCGGAACAGCTGATCGTTGGGGGGAAAAAAGAAATACCCTAAGGAGTGACTGAGCAGGGAAGAATGCTTTCAGCGATATCGGGCATGCGCGCAATGTCGCGCATGCACGATAAGGACTGACTTGGCAGGGAGGGGAGGGCGGAGAGGGGCGGGGCCAACCAGAGGCACGATTTGCCGGTTCTCCGAACTGCGCAGAATCATAACAACCGGTTCTATAGAACCGGCATGAACCGGTAGAATCCCACACCTGAAAATGGGATAAAACTAACTTAATAAATGTCACATTTAGCAATGGAAATTGGGGGTTCAGTTGTAGTTGCCGGTTCTCCGAACTGCGCAGAATCATAA